GCTTAGACTGACATGCCTCCCATGGAGTCCTCAAGAAGGGGGTCCTGGTCCCCTTGAACCCAGATCTTTCACAGGGCCCTCCACCCAACCTCTGCTCCTCAGAATCACTGATTTCACTCTTCTTTGCACTGGGTCTACTAAGCTGCTGTAGGACCACGTGGTAAGCACTTCAGGCGAGAAGCCATGAGTCTTAGTCACGATCACTAACCACCACAGGTGACCCATCAACCAAGAGGTATGGCTATTCCAATAAACTTCATCTACACAATTCTGGCAACTAGACATGGACTACAGGTTGTGGCCAATCTCATTTGTCAACACAAAAAGCACAGCTCTCACCTTAAATGGAGTAACAGAGGTTTCTTCTAGAACCATGTTGAGTGACCATGGCCCAGTGACACAGATGTAGGTCACCCCCAATTCCAGGGTCCAAAGTGCAAGCAGTTTCATCAAGTTTTATAGTTTTACAGAACAAAGAAAGTCATCAATCAAGCAAATGTAAAACACTTTGGTGGGTTCATCAGAGAGGTAGATATAGCAAGACGGAGAAAGCTTTTCTATAGGCCTCAGATGCTGTCCGATGACATTCTCAGCCTTTGGATTGGTAGAGGCTAGCGGTTTGCTAAGTTACTAGATGCCAGAGGTTTTTACTCTTAGTCACAGGATGTTACGGATACAGAGGCGGGCAAGGAATGGCTAGTCACGTGGCTAAAGTGGGCCCGAGATAAGGTAATTAGCTCCTGGCAACTTTCCAACCTCTCCACGTCACTATAGTTTTAATCAGACACAACTTTCCAGGAATTCTCCTGGACAACATCATTGGTCCACAAGCCTATTAAAAATCTCCTAGTTTAGCTGGGCAGTGGTGGTGGTGTACACCTTTAGGGAGGCTGAGGCAGGAAGATCTCTGAGTTCAAGGCGAGTCTGGTCTACAGAGTGAGTTCCAGGACAGCACAGAGAAACCCTGTCTTGAAAAACCAAAAACAACAACGAAAATCTCCAGGTCAAAACACACACCACCCTTCCTCCCTCCCTCAGACGCCACCCCCCCTCCAATCCCTGCCCCCAGTTTGACACAAAGGCGTAAGAGTACCGTGACAAGGCTGACGTCACCTAACCACATCTGTCAGGCCCGCGGGCTCTCAGTGCTTCACCTCAGACCTCTGGCTGCCCGCTGGGCGGCTTCATGACACGCCTACCAGGCATCTCCAACCAGTCCGGCCCCATCACCCCTCCTTGTTCAGTCATCTGTTGGGTACCTCAGGCTGTTCCAGGCCCTGGCCACATGCTTCTTATTCTCACAAAAGCTCTGCTGGAACCAAGAGTCCTTCTGGATCCCTTTCTTCCTCATCCTCCTAAGCCCATACGCAAATCCTAATGTACTAGGCCTGGCAAAAGTGAAGATACTTTAAAGAGACAACTGTGTCTCTCATTCTGACTATCACCAGAGTATTGAAACAATGGACCCCAAAGAGATGGGAATCTCCCCTGGAATCTCCAGCTGGGAGAAGGAAACGGTACTAGTCAGAGGGAACTTGTCTCCCAGAAAGAGATCTCCCATGATTCTAACAACTTATTAGACCACCTTACAGGAGACGGAAGATCAAAGACGGGTTAATGGTGGGTGGGGCCACACCTGTACTGCTTAGATATGCAAATCTTTGGCCTTCTATTTAATCTCACTCCAGGACTTGGGGGTTCACTGGGTCTCTTTGTCCCTCTTCCCAATGTGGCCACATTGAGTAAATCTCCTTTTTCTGCTTTCCACCTTTAATCTGGCTCTATTCAGACCTGGCTTAGGATACAGGCTGTGACCCCCATCTGGCAACACGGACAGCTCTCCATGATACCTTCTCGGGTTCGGTGTCATTCTTTATTGGCACAGCCCCTCCAGGACCTTCTCCCTTCATCCTGCCCCTTCAGTCAGGAAAGAGAGTTAGGAAATGTCATGCTTCCGCCAAAAACTCTTCTGAATATAGGATCCCTGAGGGTAAAGCACTTGCTTGGCATATGGGAGGTCCTGAGTTCTGGGAGAATGGGGGAGAGTGCAAAACAAATCACAGAAAACATACCCAACTCCAACCAGTCTACCAGGGCTCTGAGCTTCATCCTGTGGCCCCTTCCTTCCCATCCCTGCCTGAACTGCTCTCCACCTTGACACTTCTGCTTAAACGGCACCTCTGCCCTTCCTAATGCCCACCGCCAACCACAGCATCCCACACCTCAGAGAGCTTTCCAAAGGTAACCCGCTCTGTGCACCAAAGGGGACCTTCACAGAAGCGAGCCTTATGCACTCCATGGGCACCTGGTGCACACATACCAAGTGGGCCCTCCAGAAATGCTCTGTTCCTGAATTCTTTGTTTGGTGTCTACCTTTGTTAGGTTAATTTGCCTACACCAGTACAGGTAGAGTAGGAGCCCTGTGTGGACCCTCATGTGAGAGGCACAATTACTGTGGGAAGTCATGGCCAGCAATCCCTGGGTGTCAAGCTAATTCACATAAATGACGTTCTTAGGGAATAGGCCCACGTCACTTGACTGTGACTCCGAACACATTGGGATTGGCATAATGGGTCTCTTTCAGCATTTCCATCACACATGTGCCCTTGAGTAAAACTCAATAGCAAGTAAACAGCCTATTTTTAGTTAATTTCCAAAGTACCAGAACTCGCAACATTTTGCACACCTTCCACTACAAGGCTGGGAGAGAGAACAGTGCGGCAGTGTGTCCAAGCGGGGGCGGTAAGACTGGTTCTTTCCATTACCTGCCCTCCCGCTCTGCGGCAGACCCTCTTTCCACTCCCTCAGAAGTTCCCATCTCCACCCTGGGAGGCTCAGCCATGCTTCTGAGGATGTTTCAAACACCACAGCCTAGCTGCAGGGCATGCTCTAGATACTCAGAGAGAAATGAGACCATCCACTGTTTCCACCTCATCTCCTCCAGAGTGCCAACTCCGGTCCTTTCCTGTTTTCTTCTGGGGTGACTCTGCCCAGGATGCGCAGTTTCCATAGGTCTGTGTGGGCAGAGGATATGCATCACTAGCAGCCCCCAGCGGGGGGCAGGAGAGGCAGCTTTGTAGACACACACCTGTGTTTCAGGCCTCTCTCTCCAGGCCTCACATATTCGACGATGTGACTAACACCCAGAGGCCACCATGTGAAGACCAGAATTACAGCATTAACTAAATGAGGCTGGGAGCTCATGTCCCACTTCCTGTGTTAGGGGCTGTGCTGCCCCAGAGATCATGACAGCATACATACCTGCTGGGCCTGACCTCTTCCTCAGGGACACCGGTCTTAGACTAACAGGTAAAGCAGCAATTCCTACTTTGGTTTTTCATCTTTTATGGAAAAACAAACTGCTTATTTTACCTCTAGTCTCACGTCATAGCACAGAATTCTGGGACCCTAAGTGTCAGCAGTGGACACCAGAAGAACGTCCTTTAATTCAGTTCAGCTCTGACAATGTCTGCCAGAAGATGGCATCAGATCCCAAGGTTGTGGACTCAGTCTCCCAAGAGGCCCTACTTGAGTGCAGATGCAAGCCCAGGCCATGTCACCTCTTTTTCTGATGACCAGTACCTATAAATAGGGTCCTAGAGAGCCCTCCTTGAGTTGGATTTCCCCCAGAAGCTCACAGTACTCAGAGAAGCACTAACTTACATTTACTGTTTTATTATAAAGGACATTACACTGGGTATAAAAAGTTGCAAGAGGTCAAGTAGGAGAACTCCTTGCCCACGTTCTCCCTAGGCACACTCTCCAGGATCCTCTAAATGAGTTGCCTAAGGATTTTCTGGACATTTCATTACATGGGCATGACTGATTAAACACTGGTCACTGATGACCTACTTAACCTTCAGCCCTAGAGGCTGAGGTCTGGGTTCAAAGTCCCCACCCTCTGATCCTGTTCAGGTTTTCAGTTACCAGTTCCACCTGGAATCTACCCTAGTGGATGCTGAATGGTGTTGGGCTCCTTAGCATGCAAAACGGCATTTATACCCTCAGGTAGTCCAAGAATTTTAAGAACTGTATGCCAAGAAATAGATTAAAGATCTAAAATGATGTTTCCAAATATAACATGCTGCCAATGTAGGAAAAGAAGGAAGAGAACTCCAGGAGACGGAGGAGGGAACAGGAATAAAATGTATAAATTCATGTATGCCTGGAAAAACAGGCTTGATACCAGAAGCTTTAATGATTTAATGTAATTTTTGGATGACTTGGGGTTTTATTGCTGTTACTGTATTCTGGCTTTTTTTTTTTTTCTTTTTGAGACCAGTCTTGGTTTGTGGTTCAAATTGTCCTAGAACCCTCGGATCTTTCTACCTCAGCATCCCCAATGCCGAGATTAAGGCGTGCACCACAAGTCCCGGCATAAGGTTATGTGTTTCTCTCCACTTGAATTTCTCTATGAGCTGTCATCTCCTACCATGACCTAGCTGCAATAGAGTTCCACACTTTGACCAAAGAGTCACAATGAGGTCCACAATGGGAGAATTAGATCAAACAATCCTCTGCCTCCTGTTTCTACCCTTGCTCTCTTCCTAATCAACACCTCTCTACCTGAACCTCAGAATCTCCTAAAACTCACTTTTCCCCCTTCTAATTTGTCCCTTTCTATTTCTAGGTAAACACCACAATTCTTGGAAAGGTCCCTCAACCTATCCCGGAGACTCGGGAGCCTCACCACGCCCCGTGGATCCTCACCCTCCGCTCCGCACCCCACCAGGACTCTGTCATCCTTAAGGTTTGGGACTCATGTTCATCTCCAGTCTCGGTGGCGGGCTCGAGTACTGCCTAGCTGCGCGTTAGCAGTACCGCTCACCTGAGGCAAGAGGAGCGCGCGGAAGACGCTGTGGCAAGCGCCACCGGACCACCAAACACAGACGCCAGGAGCTGGGAAGCCGGTCCACCAGCGGGCGAGCGCTCGTGCGCCTGCGCGGGAGGGCGGGACTGCGTAGGGCGCACGCGCACATGCTGGGAGCGCCAAGGCTTGAGTTCCTGCTGGAATGCTGCCCCTCTGGTGTCTGGTTCCGGGCTCCTTTACTGTGGTTTTCTGATCCAAACTCGTCTTAGGAGGTTTCTCGGCCTCCGCTCCCCATCTGGAGTGTAGTGAGGAGCAGAGCTGGGCCTCCGGGGTCAGGTTCCCCGGTGGATGGATCGAGAGACCCGCCTCTTTGCCGAGCGGCACTACCGGGGCCTCGGGGGCCAAGTCCCTGGCTGCAGCGGGCCCGCACCCAGCAGTGTGACCTTCATTCAGGCGCCGGACGCCTTCTCCTACGCTGACTTCGTGAAGGGCTTCCTGCTGCCTAACCAGCCCTGCGTGTTTTCCAGCGCCTTCACCGAGAGCTGGGGCAGCCGGCGGCGGTGGGTGACGTCGGCGGGGAAGCCTGACTTCGAGTATCTGCGGCAGAAGTATGGTAGGGCGCAGGCGGACTGACCTGGGGAACTCGGAGCAGACAGGAGGCGTAGACCCCGGGATGGGAGGGTGGCCAGGACCGGACAGACGAGTGGGACCTGGATAATTCGCCCAGAGGGTGGCCGGAACCCAAGGGGATGAAACTGCACGTATGACTCGGCCACTTCTGTGCCGACCCTCTCGCTGCAGGAGACGTGGTTGTGCCGGTTGCCAATTGTGGAGTGCGGGAATACAATTCAAACCCCAAGGAGCACATGCCCTTCCGTGACTATATCGATTACTGGAAGGAGTACATCCAAGGAGGTTGCTCCTCCCCTCGGGGCTGCCTCTACCTCAAGGACTGGCACCTGTGCAGGTAATAGGACCGGCCGGCGGATGGCTGCTGGGGACTTTTCCCTAAGCAGCGAGTGCAGGCCTTCTTGGTAGAGCATTCCTACTGCAGTCAGAGGGGTTACGTCTGCAGTAGAGTTCTAGTCTGTCTCAAAACTGGTGGGAGGGTAGTTCCCTGGGAGGGTCACCATACCAGCCCAGGTGGACTGTCATGAGGAAAATAAGTCTTGTGTAGCTCTTGTATGGCCTCTGCTGTGTAATGTTTGAGCAGGTTCTCTCAGATCCTCTGGGACTGCCCTCTCCTGACCCCACTGAGGACAGGTTTGTTTCTTCCACGGTTGTTCCGGGGATTCTTGCTGTCTACTGGCCCATTCTAGACTCTCAAAAGGGGCAAGTGACCTTTCTACAACTGCTCTCACCCCACTTTGAAAATCCCTCATTATTTAAAGAGGCACTCAGCACCCTCCCTGATTAGCCTCTTCTTTTCTCACACATCAACTTATGACAGCTTTACTTAGGAGATTTTTGACTTTGTGATGTTTGCATAGGTGCAATGCATTTGGTAGAAACTACTTCAAGGTTTGAATTTTCCCAGGCTAGCCGTATGTGGTGTTTCTTCCCTATCCCTTTCCTCTATGTTGGACAGTGTCAAGAAGCCATACCCACTTCCAACCCATGGGTCTACTGAAATGATCACACCTCTAGAGTATGCTGCACTGCTCTGCTGAGCTACAGTGGTCGTCCATTTAGGCACACTGCTGCCTTTTTCTTATTGGAGTGCTAAGGTCTTGAGCATCTAAACACATGCTGTTAGTACATTTTTAAATTTATGATATTTCCAACTTGGACATGTCAGTCCATAAGCCCACTACATCTGAGGAGTTTCATGATGCTCACTTTGGGAAGAGCATCACTTCTTTCCATGGTGGTCCTGGGACTGGGTGTTTTCTCTGCCTTTCACAAGCACAGACTGTTGTGCTCAGAACCCCAGCAAAAGGCACAGCGGACAGGTGAATTCCTGTATCCCTTGTGTGCAAAATAGGGCTCAGAACTGTAGAATGGGATGGAATTCAGGCCCCTGCAATTTCCACAACTGACCAGATACAAAAGAAACACCAGCCTCCAGCTACTTTGGCATACTACTACTTCTTGTTTAGGCAGAAAGCTGGTCTATGCAGGAGCTGGGTAAAGCATGACTGGACACTGGTCCTGAATCTGTATAATGTTGAAGCAGGTAGAGATGGACTCACAGGCCTAAATACTGCCCTATGTAGTAGTTTAAAGTTTTAGGTAAACATTTGAGTTGGATTGTTTTGTTTTTTATTGCAGGGGGTAATGAATATTTCCCAAATATTATACTGGCATATTTATGCTAAAAAAAATTGTTCATTGTATTTAAATCCAATGTTTGATCATACTTCTGTCTGGAAGACCCTGAAACCAAAAAGGGCAGAAGAAGGCATGGAGTCGCATAATCAGGAGGCCACAGGGGAAGTGATGCCTGAGCAGCATTTAAGAGTCTGCTGAGTGCTCAAAGGCAAGCAGGCCTGATGTTTGGGGACCTACAGATAATTTGTTGCTACTGGGACCCTGCCTATCTCTGTTTGTTGTTGGGAGTTACAGGCACGCACGTGAGTCTAGAAGCTTTTTCCAGAATGATGTTGATGGGAGTTGTGCCTTCTCTGAGGCTAGTGTTAATATGATCCAGTGTTTGAGGACCCAAATGATGGGTTTTGAGGCTCTCACACCTGGGGCTGCAGCCTGGAGTTGCCAGGTAGTGTTCCACCATATATTGGTGAAGAAGGAGGCCATTAGCTCAGGAACTGGGATGGTGCTCACCTTGTGTTTGGAGCCCCAGTGACCACTGCCTAAATGGCATGGTTATGCCATGATGCCCCCAAAGTCATTTTATCTTCAGCATTCTGAACTGAGCAACTTGAGGTTCAGCTCAGGTCCTCAGGATCTGCAGCAGTCAAGTCCACTAGGGCTGGGTGATCTTAGGTGGCCCTATTTGATGTGGGTGGGCCTGCTGGGATGGGGCTCAGGGTAGATTAGTGCTATATAGCTCCTGTGCTTTCCTCAGAGACTCCTTGGTGGATGACCTGGAAGATATATTCACCCTGCCTGTGTACTTCTCATCAGACTGGCTGAATGAGTTCTGGGACGTCCTCAATGTGGATGACTACCGCTTTGTCTACGCGGGGCCCAGGGGCACCTGGTAATGACAGAAGGGACTTGGGCACCTGGTGAAGATGAGATGGGAGGTGTGACCATCTAGGGCATCTGCCTAGAGGCCAGCAAAAACCAGGGTCCATACAGGACTCCACAACACAAACCTAAAGCCCTTGCTGTAGGTCTCCCTTCCATGCGGATATCTTCCGCTCCTTCAGCTGGTCAGTGAACATCTGTGGGAGGAAGAAATGGTTGTTCTTCCCGCCAGGGCAGGAGGAGGCCCTTCGGGACTGCCACGGTAACCTGCCCTATGATGTGACTTCCGCCGAGCTCCTAGACACTCGCCTCTATCCCAGGATCCAGCACAGCAGCCTACCCCTTGAAGTCATACAGGAGGCTGGTGAGATGGTATTTGTGCCCAGCGGGTGGCACCATCAAGTGTACAACCTGGTAAGACAGTGCACATGACCCTGTTTCTACCAGACTCTCTCCCTCTACATCCCCAACTGCCTGTGTAGAAAGAAGGCAGTATTATTCCCCTGCAAGGGCTGAAGGTAGGGTAGGGAAGCCACAAGTGAGACTACGGAGAACTTATCCCCTAGCCCTGTTCTAACTTGGTTCCTCTTTCTCTTTTTTTGGGGGGTGGGGTGGGGGGATGTTTCGAGACAGGGTTTCTCTGTGTAGCTTTGTGCCTTTCCTGGCACTCTATAGCCCAGGTTGGCCTCGAACTCACAGAGATCCACCTGCTTCTGCCTCCCAAGTGCTGGGATTAAAGGCGTGCGCCACCACTGCCCGGCTGGTTCCTCTTTCTCTCATCCCAGTGTGTTAGCCCCATCATGAGATGGGATCAGCATTTCTTGGCTGCCCTGGCTGAGCGTCTGTTTTCTACCTTTGCCCACTATTCTTTCATTTCTGTTGCTGTGACAAACTACTCTGACAAAAAGCAACTTAGAGGAGAAAAGGTTTATTCCAAATTACAGCTTATCATTGTGGGGAAGTCAGGGCGGGAACTTGAAATGACTAGTCACATCACATCCACAGTCAAGAATAGAGAAATGAATGCATATATGTTTATTTGTGCTTGGCTCAGTTTTTCTACTCTTACACAGTTCAGGACCCTCTGCTTAGGGAATGGTGGTACTACACACAGTGGGTCTTCCCATATCAATTAAGACAGTCTCCCCACAGACATGAGCACAGGCCAATCCAATGTAGACAATTCCTCATTGAGATTATCTTCTCAAGTAATTCTAGATTGTGTCAAGTTGACAGTTAAAACTATCACACTCACCCAAAGCACCGAGCCTGGTGGATATGGAATGGGATTTCGTTTGCTCACCAAAGGTGATATCTGCTGTTGCCTCATGGAGCTTGTCCTCTGCCCTCCAGGACGACACCATCTCTATCAACCACAACTGGGTCAATGGCTGCAACCTGGCTAACATGTGGTACTTCTTGCAGCAAGAACTCCAGGCAGTACAGCAGGAGGTCAGAGAATGGAAGGACTCCATGCCTGACTGGCACCACCACTGCCAGGTGAGAAGCAGCCTGCCCATGTCGAGTCAGCTTCGGGTCCAGTACAGATGCCAGGGCCAGGCTTCGTGACTCAGACACACACACACACACCCCACCCCCCGGCCACCATCCTGGCTTTATACCTTTGTCTCTGGGTCCCATCTTAGCCCGACACCTGGGTGTGTGGGAGGGATCTTTGCACACCAGAGCAGTCTGAGTCTGCATGTGACCCCAGGGCTTACTTGCCCTTTCCTTTTGGCCCAGGTCATCATGAAGTCCTGTACAGGGATCAATTTTGAAGAATTTTACCACTTCCTCAAGGTCATCGCTGAGAAGAGACTTCTTGTCCTGAGGCAAGGCCTGAAGGGGGACACAGGGGACAGCGCGGGCCCAAGGCTGGGCCTGCAGCAGGCTGCATTTGATGTTGGACGCCTTGCAGATGTGCTGGCCTCTGTGGTTGCACATCCTGACTTTCAGAGAGTGGACACCAACGCATTCTCACCACAGCCAAGGCAGCTGCTTCAGCAGCTGGAGGATACTGTGGCTGCTGCTAAGGCCCTTTAGTACTCTACAGGTCATGATATAGGAAGAATTCTAGAGGGCAGCTTCAGAATTGCCGCAGGGCCTCGCCCAGGCTACCCTTCCTTGAGGCCTAGGACGTACCTCAAGGCTGTGCGGGTGCAGTTCTTGCAGTGTGGGCAGACACAGTCTTGCCCATCTAGTGCTGTTTCCCAGTATCTAGGCCCTGGATCTTGAGGAAGGTCCAGCCAAAACGGGAATTTAACTCATGGGGGCTAGAGGGATATTCACCCATTTAGCCTATAACAAGCCTGCCAAGAACTTAATTGAATGGTGATCATGAAACCGGGTTTCCTTGGAGCCTTCCAACCTCTCCTAGTGATCCTAGGACTCCTGAGTGATGGATATCCAGTCCATCTCTTGGAGGTGACCCTGTGTGACCTGGGACATAGAGATGCATATATGCAGTTGCCTTCCAAGCCTCTGTGTCCTCTAGTTCTGTCCTGGGAGCTCCAGCAGCTGGACTAGGAAGAGTTAACCTGGGTATGGCAAGTGGCAGGGGACTTCTTAAGCTGGATGTTGTTCCCCTGTGGCTGGAGGCACAGTGCTAGGTGGCTAAAAAACCCCAAATACTGATCTAGCCAAGTCCCCAGGATGGAGATGATGTGCAGGACTAGGGGGAAGTAGCATTCTTCCCCACAGCACTCCTTCAAGGCCTGGGCTCCTATGCTAACGCTGTGCTAGCCCATCTTCTGCCCAAGGGCACAGGGCTAAGTCCAGAGCAGAAGTACAGGGAGTCTTGTAGAGGAGACAGATACCCCAGTCTCAGGCTGGTGCTGGATGAGGCAGTGCCTCCTCTGTTGGCTGCACTCCCTGCCTGTGCTTCTTAGATGGAGACAAGTCATTGCTTAATGGCCTGCGTGGCTCCACATAATATCCTGCAGGCCACCACGTTCACTGTGCTATTTCTAGGAATAGGGGGTTGTGGCTGAGGACAGAGGTGCACAGCCTGTGTGAGAGCTGCTTACTCTGGGCCCCAGCATGAACCACCAAGATGAGGCACAGCTGTACATATAGTGTTGGACTTGTAGACCTTTTTGGAGACAGCTTTGCCTAAACCTGCAGCCTTCATGATCAGAGGTGGGGCCTCACAGACAGAAGGAAATTATAAGCAGAATTAGCCACAGCCTTTGCAGAGATCCTATGCAGGACCTGGTGCCAGTGACAGACCTTGTCATCCCCAGGAAAACCCTCTGGGTAGGGCCTCCTGGGAATGTTTTTGGAGGAGCCACTTGAGGCTTAGAGCGCTGACTTTTCAAGGCACAACCTGCAGAGTGGCACTAATGCTAGTTTACCCTGTGAGCTGTAGGTCCTACACAGACTAGGTAAGTAAGAATTTGGGTAGGGGCAGGGGCACCTGTATCTCTGCCCTGCCTGCCACACAGGTCTCCTCTTGGTTGGGACTACTGGGGAGGTGCTGAAGCTCTGTGGCTAGGAGAATATCTCTTGGTGTTAGATGTAGAATCAATCAATAAATCAATCAATCATTTATTTATTTATTAATACCTTCAAGCGCTTCGCCAGCTAAAAATAGTAACATCTCCAGATTCAGAGCCTTTACCAGCAGCATTGTCCCAGGGAATCCTCAAACATGACCAGGCAGATAAGCCTGCCCAGGTGGTGCCTTTGAGCTCCTGGCCAGGGGTGTGGTATCTGGGGCCCTGGCTCCTTTCTGTTGTGAAGACACTTTACAAAAGTGGCCCAGCAACTTAATGGGGCAGTTAGCCTTCCTTACTCCAGATTTGCAAAATTAAGGAAAGTTAACACCCTGGGCCATGTGTGACAGACATTACCTACTATGTACTCCCATGACCATCCTAACTAGAAATAACAGTCACACAGCTCAGCAGGTAAAGATGCTTGCTGTGCACATCTGTGCCCCTGAGTTTGCACCCCAGAATCCATGTGAGTGGAAGGAGGTATAGGGGAGAAGCCCCTTCATCTACCTCACAGACTGCCAAAACCCTTGCTTGCACCAAGGCTGCCACAATTTGATGTTTGTGTAAGGACCTCTGCTCAGTAGCTGTCTGGCCAGCCTTGGACTGTTACCACTCTTGTTGCTGATCCTTGTAGCTAAAACTTAGTTTTTCGTGATATATAATCTCCTTATTTTGCCTTTGCAACTTCCTGTTGCCCCAACCACCATGGGTACAGCCTTAGTTTACTGGCACGTGTTCCCACTGTGACATGGCTATTTACAAGAAGTAATGTCTTTTGGAAGATTATTTGGATGGACAGTTAAATATCCTCCACCTAGTTATGCCAATACTTGAAAAGCTTTAATGAAAGGAAAACATCCTAATCCCAAGAAGGGCTTCCTCTGCACTCCGATGCTTCTGGGTCCAGCCTCAACTATTGACCAAGGTATTTAACCTCTATTTGCAGAAATGGAGATAAGCCCCCACTACTCAGATCAGAATCTGACTAAGGGTGATGAGTGGGTTCCACAGCTGTTCTAAACTGTTGAGATGGAATAAGAAAAATGGGCAAAATGCAAGCAAGATCATTCATGATTTAATATGAAGGAGAGCTATACCCTTCTCCCCACCAGTCCGGCTTCCATTCCCCATTGTCAACATTATCCAACTGTGATCCAGAAATACTAAGTGAATGAAAGCAGGTATTTTGATCACATTCATACAACTTACTACAGTATATTGTTAGAGTTCTATTATGACTTCTTTCCTTACTATGCTTTATAAATTGTGATAGGAGCCGGGTGGTGGTGGCACATACCTTTAATTCCAGCACTCATGGCAGGATCTCTGAGTTCGAGGTCAGCCTGGTCTACAGAGTAAGTTCCAGGACAGCCAAAGCTGTTATAGAAAGAAACTTGTCTTGGAAAAAAAAAAAGTTTTACTTTTAGGTTGAATTTTTATTAATTTCATCCAGTCCTAGCTGAAATGAACATCTAAGAATTAACTCCTAAACTCATTTGAGACTAAAGGAAAAGGAATTGGGTAGAATGAACTCTAAAAGCTTAGATAAAAGCTTAGATCTTGATTTCACTTGAAAAGTTTGGTCCACAGCTTCCCCATGATTAATTTAGCCTATGAACAGGTTACTTTAACCTGCTGCATTTTGTCATAAATATAATTAAAGTTTGTATGCCAGAGTACTTCATATATAACAATATTGCTCTGTGTACTGGTTAGCTTTTGTCAACTTGACACAAACCTATACACATCTGAGAATAAAGAATCATAATTGCCGGGCAGTGGTGGCACGCGCCTTTAATCCCAGCACTCGGGAGGCAGAG